GGGACCCATAGTTCATGAACATAAATTTTATTATCACAAAAGCTCCCATAAGCAACGAGACAATATATCCAGCCCTATGACTTCTCAGAGTCTTGAAAACAAAATCAAAGCAGGTAAGGAGAAAACATGCCTTACTGTTAAAGATGTATCAGGTGCACGCTTAGATGTATGAACTCTCATTGCGTGGGACAAAAGGAAGGACTCAAGGATGTCTGCTGCTAGTGAACTACCTGTAACAATTAGAATTCGCATACTCATGAGCACAATGATGCTGGGTAATCAGATTCAGCCAAAATGAATAGGCATAGCCTCTTATCAAATTTAATTTGAGTAGCCCTTGAACTCTGAGCACTGTTGTCCAGAGCAGTATGACTACAGGTGGCCTTTAGAAGCTGGTTAAAAACAAGGAAATGAATTCTCCTCTATAGACTTTAAAAAGGAATGCAGCCCTGCTAACACCTTGATTTTAGCCCAGTGAGACCTGTGCTGGACTTCTAACCTCCAGAACTGCAGGATGATAAATTTGTATTGCTTTAAGCCACTGAGTTTATGGTAATTTGTTTTGTAGCGATAGAAAACTAATACAGGCAGTAAACAAAATAAGTAGAATATAGAGTATGTCAGATGACAAATTCTAAGGAGAAAATTGGAGCAAGAAATGTGGCTAGGGAGTGTCAGAAGGAGAGGATGGTTGTAATTTTAAATGGGGTTGAAAAGGGAGACATTTGGTGATTTTTGAGCAAAGAGCTGAAGGAAGTGAGGTAGCAAGCCACGAAGTATCTGAGTGATCAGAAAGACTATTCCTGGCAGAAGGCACGGCAAGTATCAAGGCCGTGTGGTAGGAGCTTCCCTGGCATTTCTGGGAACCAAGGAAGGCATCGTGGATAGAGAGGCATTTGTGATGGGAAGGATAGTAGGAGATGAGGTCAGAAATAAAAGGATGCCAGCTGGTGCTTGGTTTTACTCTAAGATAAGTCAAAGGAGGATTTTGAGTGACATGATGTGACATGTATTTTAACAGAATTAAACTGGCTAGTTATTGAGAATAGACCACAGGGGGCAGGGTTGAGGCAGGGAGACCAGGTAAGAGGCCATTGCAGTAATTCAAGCTAAAGGTATCTGTGGCTTAGATCAGGGTAGTAACTGGGGGTGGAGGAGGTGGGGGTATGGAAAGAGATCTTGGATTTTGGATATCTTTTAAAGGCAACAAGATTTGCTGAGAGGTCAGAGATGGAATATAAATGGAGAAAAATCTAAGGATTCCACGCTTTGGGGCCTGAGCAACTGAAAGGTTGTGGCCATTCACTGAGGTGGCAGTGGGAGCGAGTTTGAAGAGGATTGGATCAGTTTGGGTGAATTTTTGGTACCTGAATCTTCCTCTTCCTCCATTCTTTGCCTTGAGATTTCTTTTCTAAAGAGGCAAAGAAGCATACACATAAGGAATAACAGCCAGTGAGAAACAGTACCTTGCTCCATTTATGATGGAGTCAAATTTGCTGTATAACACCTATGCAGGGCTCTGATAAAACTGGGTTGGAGAATGAGAGGTAGCCCAGGAGGACCAAGGGGCTTGCATCCAGAATGTTCACCCTTCAGAGAAGATTCTGAAGGTTAAGACATCCTCCTCCAGCCACCTGGTCATAGGCAGAGAAGCTGGATCAGAGAGTAGGTGACTACTGCCTGGTGAAAGTTATCCAGGAAATACCAAAGTCTCCCTCCCAATCACCAGATTTACCACTTCTCCCCAGGGAAGGAGCTACTAAGAGGGTGGGCAAGGCTGAAACCCAAGGAGAGAGGCAGAGACAGTTCCATTAACAATTGTTGGTTAGAATTAAATGCCCTCTTAGCCCTGCCATGATCTGCTCATCTGCATCCTGATGGGTGAGCCCTATCTCCAAGGGCAGAAGTTGGATCTCAATGTCCTGCTTTAGTTTCTGAGACAAGAAACCTTGTTTTCCTCTCTTCTTGATGGGAAAGAAAAGATCACATAATGAGAATCCCTAGGCAGACAACAGCCTTCTCCCAATTAGGGATGAGTGAGTGAGAGAGGACTAGTAAAGGTAAACTGGTATAATTAAGAGACACTTCCATCCTAATTCTTGTGGATGATGAAGAGCTCTCTGATTACCAAGAGGTGAAAAGGACAAAAGAAGCTTTAAATGCAGTGGCCTGAGTTGGAGTGTCTAAAAATTGGGGCAGTTTGGAAATGAGGTTGCATTCTTCAGTGATGAATAGAAATACTACTTAGTGGTTGTGTTTTTGTATCTGGCAGTCCCCTCACTCAGAGATGACTTGATATTGAAAAAAACAAAACAAACAAAAAACAAACAACAAAAAAAACCCAGTAGCTGTGGAAGCCTCCTCTATTGGGGAAAGGATGTTTCCTCCATATATCCTAATTGCTACTCAATATATTTCCACACCTCTTTAAAGTGTGTAGTAAGAATTGTAAAATGCAGTACTTAGTCACCTGCTACTCCTCAATCATTATACATTAACATGCTGTCACATGGGGACTAGAAAGATGTGGAAAACCCAATCCTTTTTCTCGGGAAGTCAGGAAGCTCATATTTGATGACTCTTACTATAAACTAAGAATACTCTCTATATTTGTTTATCCTTAACAACTACTCTGTAAGGTAGATGTTGCTCCCCGCAATTTACAGAGGGGAATACTGAGGTTTAAAGGTTTGGGTAGACCAAGATCAGGCAAGTAGAAAGTGGCAGGCTGTGGGTTGGGCTTTGAAGTCCTTGTTTATTCATTATTCCCAGCTTGTTCTAGTAAATCCACTAGAATCTCGAAGTATTTTCCAATGATTAATGCTCCACTCCGTGTCAGGCAGTCTATGGCATTTTTCAACGGTCAGAAAATCCTGGAGAAGGTAAGGCATTTCCCCCTCTCTAGGTGCCTTGGCAGTGCCGTTGTGGACCCAGAACACACCCTTTCTGATCTGACATCTTCCTTGCAGCCCTGGCCCGCCAGTGTCTTTTCCGAAAGCTTGGGAGCCCCGGGTAGACTGCGCGTGTGCCATCTCTTTCCGGAGGGAAGATGATCCTAAAGGCGACCTGACTTCTCTCCCCCACGGAGCTGCCATTCCACAGGCGGCCGCCAGGGGTCCCCGCCCGGCGCGCCCGCGCGACAGTCGAGCCCCGGCGGGCTGCGCGGCGCGCTGGGTGCATGTGGGGGCTGCTTGGGAGCCGCGGCGGCTGCAGCTGGAGCGCGGTGCCAGCCCGTCCCTGGCTCGCTGGGACCGGGCGCGCTGGCCGGAGAGCCCCTCGCGAGCGTCGCCCCACCTGCCCCGGGCTCACCCTTTTTCTCTCGCTCTGACTGCAGCTGACCCCGCGAAGGGAGCCGACAGGGCCCTGGGCTGAAGGAAATAACCCCACGGTGAGTGAAAACCAAGCGAGGGAAGGCAGCACCCCAGGAGGGCAGGGGTGCAGGGCGCACCTGGGGACGGGTGCAACAGGGTGCGGGAGGTGTGGACCCGCTCCCCCGCCGGCCGGCCGCGGGCTTCCGGGGCTGGAGTCCGCTTTAGACCGCTGCCGCCGCCTTGGCTCCTGGCCGGCTCCGCGTGCGCACTTCCCGGCAGGAACAAGGGTCCGCTTCCCACCCCGGGATCCGTGGCCTTGATTTTAAAAGATATAAATCAATAAAATCCTCCTTCCATCGGAGTGCAGGTCTGCCCAGAACCCATCCCGAATGGCGGGTGCCTGCAGGGTGCGTGCTGGGCTGTGGGTGGCGGGAAGACAAACTTTTGCAGAAGTGCGCCCGGGGCAGGGGGACCACGCTTGGGCGTCTGGATCCTGAGGGAGGAGACTAGTCTTGGGGCTGCGTAGGGGAACTCCGCACAGTCAGGTCGCCGCGGGCTGTTCCTGCTTCGTGGAGGTGGGAGTGTACAAAGGACACACAAATCCTGCAGAACTCTTGGGCCAACAACTGTCAAACATCAGGAATCCCAGCCCTTCCCTTTCCCTGCACTGGGGAAGGAGGTGAAAACTTCAACTTTTTTTTGATTGCCCCTCCCACCTTTGGACCCCTCTCTGGCGGGTAAAGGACTGACCCCTGGCGCCTGGCAAGTACCAGAGACCCTAAACCCTTCGGGATCGCCCCTCGCTCCCCTTTCCGACTTTCCCCATACGCCCTCCCCACAGGGACCTCGCAACACAGCCGACAGAGATCCTGGCGAATGGCCTTTTGTTTCTCCGCGTTTCCCCTATTGTTTGCCTTTCCAACATCTGGCGGGGCTTGCGGAGAGAAGGAAGCCCCTCTCGCTGTCCCCCCAGCCCCCACTCCAGCCTCCAGGCCAGCTCCAGTAGGGGGTCCCAGCTGGGGAAGGAGAGGAGCCCGACCCCAGCGAGGCAGCCCCACCCCGGCCTTGTGGTTAGAGGGCGGAGGGAAAGTTGTTCCTTCCCCGCCTCCGCGGCTGCCTGTGGCCCAGGGCGCATTTCTCAGATCCGATCCCAGGCGCGCCGCAAAGGGCAAACATCCGAGAAGGGTGCTGCTTTCGAGAGAGTGGAAGCAAGATTCCGCCCCAGTCCACAGTGTCCTGTGGTTGGTTCCGGAGGATTTCAATCTCTAGCTAAAGGCATTGTGGCTGGTCCGCTGCCTGGGCAGTGGGAGGGGTCAGGGCACCCCTAATAGGCCGAAAGCCGAGGTTCTGGGGTCTGCCAGTTTCTAGGGGCGGGAGGGCAGGCCAGAAACTCGCAGAATGGAGATGCAAATAACCTAGGAAACCTCAAGACGTTGCCTGGAAATAGTGGTATGGTGGCTCGCTCGGGGATGAACGTGGAGTTCTGACTTTGCGTAGGGCTCCCAGTTTAAATCCCAAGTTCTCTTTCTGCATTGTAGAAAAAGAGGACCCAGAGGATGCAACGCACGCGCGGCCAGAGCGATGTTCCCGCTTCCACGTCTCAGTGAACAGGCGGCTTGGGATGGCCCTGAGTTCCCCTGTGGGTGTGCCTGTTAGATTATAGGTGGCCTGTTTCCCTGCACAAGTTAGATGTGAACACATCGTGTTCATTCTGAGTGAGCGTACTGTAGATTATTTATTAAAGAACTGGAGCAAAAGCAAAGTAGCCACTCGGAGAAAGCAGGGTTCCCAGGTGGTGCCCAGAGTGTCTTCTTAACAGTGAGGGGAGGCCCAGTCTGTGCACCTGTTGGAACCTATTAATATATTTCCTTGTAGCCTTAAGTTGACCTGGTGTTGCCAGCTTTTTCTGTGGGAAGCCCAATGTGAGTGCCTCTTCCAAGGAGACTCAATTATACTCTTTTTATTTTCCAGCTTTTGATCCCTCCCCAACCCAGGGGAGGTAGAAGGCTTATGTAGGAACACTTGTACCCTATGTACCCATTGAAACATTTTAAATGGAAACTGTGTGCTTGCCTGTGGACAGTTCTAGGAGTTTTCCCCTTGCCAAGTTAACAGAACTTTTGAGTTTCCATTTAACACAAAAGAAAGGAGACTGCTAAGTCAGGAATGTGACACACAGAGCACTTTCTCCAGTGATTTCTGGATATTACCAGTGGGACCAATAAAAGACAAAAAGTAAAGTCTTTGAATAACTGGAAGGTACTTTATAAACATTTCATTATGAAAATGATCTCCAAGGAAGGATTCCCCTGAAATGTAGCAGCAGCAGCAGCAGCAGCAGAGAAGCAGCAACAAAAAGGATAGGAGTTGCTCAAGAACTACCCAAAGTCATCATTAATGAAGTAAAAGGACAATGCTTGTCCCAGTCCACCCCAGGAAAGAAAACAGAGTAATTATAGGGGAAGATAAGCTTGTTTGGTTTCTTTAATTTTAGAATTAAAAAGAAATTCTTCCCAAAAAATATCATTGTAGAAAAAATAGAAAATACAGACAGGTGAAAATGAAAAAAAAGAAAAAAAGAAAGAAAGAGAGAGGAGGCTGTTATAAACAAGGCTCCAGTGAACAATCTCATCTAATTATTTCCTTGGAATAAACTTCTGGATATGATATGTAAGTTAAAAGGGTTGATGCACTCTTTAGGATATTTAAGATTGCTGAATTGTCCTGTAGAAAATGTCTGCCAGCTTACTCTGTCCCACTAAGAGACAAGGAGATCTGTTTCCTATACTTTACTCCTCACTTACATTCTATATTATCATTCTTTTTCATTTCTGGCATGTTGATGGAAGGGGAGTATCTTGTCTTATACTGGGTTTTTAAAATCAAGTTAGATTAAACATTTTTCATACTGTCTGTATTTCTTCCTTTGTGATGATGTCAGTCTGTGTCCTTGCCTATTTGTCAGTGGGGGTGTTCTCCTTTTCCTTTTGATTAGATGTGCTCTTTATAAAAACATACTGTTCTGACTTCTACCCCTGCCACACAATCGAACAATCTATATTGACTGGAAATACTCAGCTTTCTTGGCCATTTTCTTCCCTTCTGCATAGCAAACACTTAGCAAGACTGCAACCACGAATGACTAAAATAACTGAGATAATTCCAGTAAAGTTATTAGGGAGACCAGGCAAAGGCATTATTAGAGAAATTCGTGGAAAATAGCAAGTATGTATTTTCAGCTTAGTGGCTTGCATGTCTTGGCTCTTTTACAGCTTGTAGTGCTTTTTTTCATTTGGAATAACAACTCTGTTGATAGCTGTTTTTACTAAATGGATTACACGAACTCGTTTTATTTTCTGATTCTTCTGCTGATAACCTATATACCATGATCCACAATTTGTTCTTGTTCTTTCAGACATTTCTTCTAACTTTTTGATGGAAACTTGCCTCACTTTTATCATAAGACTTTCTTTCTTTGACTATTAGCATTTGAACCCTGCATTTGGAACAACCTAGAGTCTGAACAGCTTGGCAGCATGCCCCCTATAGCATTAGCAGGAGAGGAAGAGCTGAAGCAGATACATTTCACCCTCTTTTGTGCATTTGTGTAGCCACAATCTCTGTTAATTCTTGCTTGAAGATATATGATTCTGAAATGGGGTAGAGGAGAGAGAGGAAGAGAAAATTCATTTTAGCTAGGTCATGAATTAATACAGATGAAGGGCCATATAAGAAAATTTAAGTAAATAATCTGGTTAATCTGGGTATAAAGTAACTTGTAAAAAGATAAAAGATACTAGAGTGTCATATATTATTAGAATGGCTAGTTTAATTAACTGACAGAAAATATAGTCTTCTAACTAGGAAAATCTATTGTAAAATTTTTCCACATTATGACTCTAGGCATTTCATTTCAGGCATGTGAAAAGCAATGAATGACAGATACTGAACCACTTTTCTGCAGCATTTTCCATGCTTTTAAGATATAGGAATTAAACAATATACATAAGAAATGAAGAGTGCTCTGCATTAGAATCATAGGCTCTCAAAGGTGAAATGAGAACTTAATGGTCATCTAATTCAACCATCCAGCCCACTTCATTATGGATCTCCACTCTTTTAAAGTAATGAAATACCACTGTACAAATGGCATCATTTCAAACAAACCAAGCTGAGAACCAAATGGGCCAGAAATCTCAACCTTTTTTCTCTGGGCAGGAGGGGGGAAAGGAAGAGTTTTGACTCTTGGGAGCTTGTATAAGCTCTTTTAATGTGCTGAACTTTCATAGAATAAACATTCTTGGCAGCAAGAGGGTTAAGTCATTGAAATGTTAACATTTTGCAGCATTCTCTGCTTCATATCCTCTAGTCATTATCTTGGTGAAGTTCAAAGGTGGTAGAGCAAAGCTAGTTCAAAATGGCCAAAGAGAAGAGGAAGAGAGAGTAGAAGATGGAGAGGGAGTCTTACTGCTTAAACCTGTCTTAAGGACTTTCTAAGAAGAATCTTGGTCACCAGGGGAGGGTTGGTCTTGCCTCTCCTTAGAGAGGGGAGTATGACTGATGTTCCAAGGCCAAGCTTCAGAGACAGCAGACATTACATAAACCACCAGCAATCCAGCAGAGGACAAGCTTACAGGATAGTACAATAATCCTTAAAAAGAAGACAAAGAGGAGGAAAAGGAGAAGGAGATTTTGGAGGGAAATAGAATTTTAATTCTAAAAGTATACCTTATTTTCTCCTGAGTAGTGCTGTGAATTTGTGAAGGTAGTAGAGACATCTTCTGATTTCTACTCGTACGATCTCCCAGGCACAGTGACTGTATTTCTCTTCTTTCAGGAAATTGACTATCCTGTTGAAATATCTCCAGAGTTCTAGGATGCTCACCTGGGGGACCCTAGCTCCTGGGTGTTTCATCTCATCTTCTTTCATTTCTTTCATGTCTTCGTTTTCATTCTCCTCTTCCTCCAAGCATTGTTTGAGGTACTCCGCCTGCTGATGAAGTCCTATTTGGATTTCTTTCAGGTGTTTCTCTTTCCAAGTGGATTCAAAAATGTATCGACTGAAGATGTTGAAGGCCTGTATGGACATTTCATAGAAGGCCTCCTTGAGGTCCCTTTTCAGAGACTGGGTGTGTGATAGAATCTCTTGGGGCAACTCAAAAGCTTTGTTTTCTCTTAGACATTCAACAGGAAATGAATTGCTCATACTGCTCAGAAGTCTCAGATTTTGCCAGGTGACTCTCCTCAGGTGAACATTCAGCAAGTTACAGTCTAGAGATAGGATGCCAGTAATGCAAAGACCCACGAGGAGTGTACGCCACAAACACTTTTGAATCATGTCAGGCTTTGGGCGTGATTTTTTTTTTCCCCAAGCTAAAAAATTCACAAGACCCAAAGTCCGCAGTGATGTTTTAAGTACTCCTTCATGTGCTTTTGTATACCTGAATATCTTCAACAGGAGGAGTTTTCTCATTGGTCGTTTTACAGTTCTCAGGGTTGCGGCCCCTTTCCTTTGCCTCTGAGGCTTTTTGGGTGACTACACTGACTTTGGAAGTGCTATCTTTTTTTTTTTTTTTTGAGAAAAGTGAGCAAAGCATTATCATTGCATTACCTTAGATGCCTGGATGATCCATCTCACCACTAAAGAATCATCATAACAAGATTGACAGAGGGTATTTCGGAAAGCTGAAAGCTGTGACTCTGTATACACACTCACTCACCCAATTCTATTACATAGGAGAGAATAATCCTTCGTGAAAATATTTTTTTTGGTACCTGGCTCTATAGCCAAACATCCTTTCTCATTGAGTTAATCATAGACATTGACCAAATGACTGATTATTTGATTGCTAGGTCACCAGAGCATAATATAGCTTATGTTTTTCTGATCTTGTTAAATTAAGCTTCTGTATTTGGATATTTTCTCTTTTTGTTTGATTTTTCTGGATCTCAAAAAAGATGAAGAACAGAGTTGGTCAATTTAGCATGACAATTACCAAGTAGAAAACTAACCCCATTTGATGTTTCGTTGCCATCAGAAAATGTTGATATTCTCCAACTATCCTTTCCTTTAGTGAAATCCATCTCTGGCTAGCATTTACTATGCCTCTGATAGGTTTCTTAGAAGTCTTCTAGGGGGTTGTATATTTGAGAATATTCTTCTGCTTCATAAGGCTTCTCTCTTATAGTATCATACATTTTCTTTCTTTTCCTTTTTTTTTTAGATGTAGTATAGACAGTATTATAAAACCTATGCTTCATTTTCATTCGTTCTTGCCTGGTGGTTCTGGACTCTGTAAAGGCTTTCGTTTGTTCCTGTATTTTTCACTGAGGACATATATGAGTAGAAGGTCACCCATTTTAGCCAAGCTAACTCACACCTGGACCAATGTTACTGTGGTAATGATGGCTATCCACCATTTGTGGTTTTTGTTTTGTTTGACCAAATTATCTTCTGGTTATGGTCAAGGCAAATGGATTCCTTTCTCCAATAAAGTAAAATGGGATGTCATTACACAAGGCTATTTTATTTTACCATCTTAAAGAAAGGAAATACATTTATTTTCAATAAAAGTCATTTGAAAATGGTAAGAAGCCATAGTTCCACAAATATAGCAGACTTTGAAAATTTGACTTAAAAAGTTCTTGTCTAAATCAGTTGGGTAGGTTTCCTCTGAAAAGAAAACTTGTATGTATTACTCTACATGCTCTATCTGTATACATTCTGATTTCACAGACAGATTTCTTGGGGTGACTAACTTTGAAAAATATTGTATTTTATATAGGATTATAGATTGATACAACCTTCCTAGAAAGCAAAATGATGATATGGATCAGAAACCTTACAAATGTGCATAATTTTTGACTCAGCAATTCTCCCGCTGGGCATTTATTCCCAAGAAATAATGGTGATGTCCTTAAAAATTTAGCTCTAAGGAAGTTTATCATAGAAAAATGGAAAATAATTTAAATGTTCAGCAATAGGTACCTGGTTAAGTAAGCCATCAGTAGAAAGCTTTAGCAAGCACTAAAAATTGTATGTGGGAATGTATTTGGTCACTTGGATGGATATACTTTGTAGCTTAAAAACAAGCTTACATGGTAGTATATAGAGTCTGATACCATTTTTGTTAAATGTAGACATACATATATGTACAGATAAATATCTTGAAGTATATATGCTAAAAATTTTGAGTCATCTGACTGGAGGAATAATGAGTGGTTTTTATTTTTGTATTTTTACTGACCTAGATTTTTAAAGTTTTCTGTGGACAGAAAGTATTTAATAAGGCAAAACTATTTTTAAAAGCAGATACTTTAAAAAAGAAACATTATACATCTTAGAAGGGCTCAGTAGTACTTTATTTACTTAACCATTTCCACTCTAGAGTATTTCAAAAGGAAATGTAAATTCTCCTTAAGGTTCAGTTCCAGTTAGTCAATACAAATAACAAATGTGTGGGAGAGTACTATTCTTGGAGGCTTTCATTTAAAAAAATGTGTTTATATGCATATACATATATTTATGACTACACACATGCACACACACACACGCAGAGTCTATAAAGTGCGAAGCATCTCTGAGGGCCATACCTTCTTACATACTTCATATAACTTCTGCCTAAAACTTTGAACTTATTCTGGCTAGAACTGCTTGTCCTGTTTTTGCTTTTACAATGCCTTGTCCTCCTTAACTATGGATTTTTTTGAATAATAATTGCATAAGTGTTGATCTCTTAATTTATTACACTCTCCCACCTCCCTGCAACTTGCCTGTGGTGCTTAGTAAACTTTGCACTAGTCTGAGACAGTTCAGCGGTGCTAACCAAGCTAACAGATTGTTCAACTGCCTTACTGTGCGTGTAAGAAGTTCTGCTCACAGGTGTTGGAAGAAGCTGCAGATGTGGCTATTGTGAACCATCTCGAAGTTCCCCATGTTTTCTGCCATGCATGGTTTTGTCATTTTAGCCCTCTGACTCCAAATCTCCTCCCTTTACTGTTATTCCATGTCATATCCTCATTATTCAAAAATGTATTTTCAGCATTTACCACATGCTAGTCACTGGCCTAGGTCCTGAAGGAGGAATAAGGTGTAGTGCACAATTTCAGGGAGCCTGGTGGTTAAATAAGCGGGTGGGTTCTGAGTGTTTTAGGTAGGAGGAGTAATTCTTAGGGCTCTCCTATGTTAATAGATGCTGATGTTGACAATATTCATGACAAAGAAGGAAAGATGGCTGGCACTCATGGCTGCCCTTCTCCTACCATTAGGATTACCTGATTTAGTAAATAAAAATAGATAATACCCATGCAATATTTGGGACATACCTGTACTAAAAAGTCATTCATTGTTTGTCTGAAATTCACATTTAACTGGGTGTCTTTATTTTATCTGGCAACCCTATCTATTAATACTATGCAATCTCCCATTGACCTCTCAAAACAGAGCTCAGACATGACACTCTCTGCAGGAAGCCTTTCCTCTGCTACCTCTCATCCTCCTACAGAGTTGCATTTGATGGCATTTCTCCATGCTGGCTTTACTTGTTCATATATCTCTAACAACAGTGCACACTCCCAAGAGGGCACCTACCATACTAAAGCAAAATAGTACATAAGCATACACACACACGCACACACACATGTGTACACTCACACGTAATTGCTCTGATTAGAAGCGATCAGTGGTCATACCTCTGTTCTGTAAAAGCCAGGCCATCTGAATTATCTTAAAATTTAATCAGAAAATTGAAAAGAATGGCAGTGTAAGGAAACATTTTTATCCCCAAATTTGTTTGTCACAACTGCCTCATCTGTCACTAGTGGGATATGCATTGACGTGCTATGTTGTTTCCGTGATGTCTGCTCTTATTTCTCTACCATGTCCCGGGATCGTTTATGTGTGGTCAGGCTTTTCTCAGAGGGAAACTGATTAGTAGGGGCTGCTCTGTTGTTCATGGAACTGTGTCGAGTCCATGTGGAGTATAAGATTAACAGTAATGGGCAAGGCACAGTTTGCTTGACAAAATGGAGATGAGACATTTCAGTCTAGACAAGATAGCTGCGATTCAGCTGAGGGGCATTTGGCATCTGCTGGTGAGATTTATCACTCTCCATGAAAAGGCAAGTTTCAAACCAGGGTGCGAGTCACACACTGATCATCCATGTTACTCAGTGCATGAAGGTAAGTCATTTCATTGGTGGGGTCAAAGGTGATTGAGCCAGCAGAGAGCCCAGGAATGGGAAGACTTGCATTCAAAACTGGCGGTACCTCCCGCAGGTCACCACAACACTGTGTGCGGCTGTTTTAGCTCCAGACCAACCCCGTCAGCTCTGGCAACTTGGTGTTTCACTCATTCTCACTGTCTCTGCATTGGGGCCGGCATGGTCCTCTGGTCCCTTTCTTGGCTCTTATCTTAATGATGTACCTGATGTAGAAACTGATAATGACTACACAGGGAATACATGGATGTGTAAATATCGTGAAAATTCAAGCGCTTCAGGGAAAATGAAAGGTTTGCTTGACAGCTCAGCCTCACGTCATGCCCCTCTCCTTCCCTGCAGAAACTGTACTTACCAGTTTGGTATGCATCCTTGTTTGATGTATTTCTCCTCACTAAGCAGTAAGTTTTGTGAGGGCAGGTGCAACAACTGGCTTGTTTGCTGCTTTCTCTTAAAGGCCCAGCAAGACTCACAGAGATTGAGAGAGACCTGGATCACTTTCGTGGGTGGGGGTAGGAGGACTGGCATATATATTTTTTGAGTGGCCAAAACAGGATTGTAAAAATTGTGATATGTTTTGAAGCTGAATCCTGTAAGTGTATCTCTGTGACTGTATATACAATATAATTTGGAAGTAACATAAAAAAGTCTACATGGTAAGCCCTTTATGGATACAAGGCCCAGGATAGATGGCTCACCAGACTTGGCTTATGATATATTCAGACTGTCACAGCACCTGGCACATAGTAGGTGCTCAATGATTATTTGCTGGATAACTGAAAAGGTAATGAAGCCATGTGTCAATGACAGGGAAGTCATTTGGAGGTTTAGTTCTTTCTGTATAGGGATATGAGGAGGACAAAGTCAGGTGCTGGGGAAAACTGAGGAGTTCACAGAACGGTAGATGGCAACTCAAGTGTCCACTTAATGTCCTCTACTACTGCCGATGTTTTTTCTTTGGAATTTCCCAAAGCTGGTTAGATCATGAGCACTTTTGTAACTCTACTCTAGTGATGTCGCACAGTTTTGTATTGTTTGGTTGATTCATCCGTTTCCCCCTCCAGATTAGAAATGTGTCTTATTTGGTTTTGTATCCATGGCACCTCTTACATAGAGGCAGTAAATGT